ACACGCCCCACTTGTTTTCCAAGCTAACTGATTTTAAACAATCTCACTCCCTCCAAAACAAAAATAAGCTTCATCACATAAAATTCCATCATTTTACTTGGGTTTTAAAAGCATTTGTTTATGTAGAATTGTGAATCTTTGCAGGAAGTAACAATTACCTTCCAAAGTGGGAAAAAAAAAGTGCTGCATATAAATATATTGCAGCTTAAAATTACAGCTCTCAGATGCTGGTAAAAAAAAGAAGTAAGACTAAGGAAACAAATAAGCCAATATTACATCTTGCTGCAGTCCCCTTAGTGGGATGCATGATATTTCTTCATGAATAAATATGGAGTAAACCACATTTGTAGCATAATAAGAAAAGGTAATTAGTGTCATCTATTCACCACTGTTAGAATTTGACTAGAGCAATTTGATTACGTTTATCACATTTTAAACTTTGAGTAAGTTTTTCAGCTCTCTAATTTAGTTAGTGGTGAAGTGTGGAGAATATAAGTCAGCTTCCCAGTGTGATTGATGAGCACAAACTCAGAGGGATAGGAATGCAAAAAAACAAAAAATAAAAAATATTTAAAAACCACAGATATTGTAATATAGATACTGCCTATTGGTTTTAAAGTAAATCTCTTCTAAATCAGTTTGAATCTATTGGCAAGACTTCTATAAAACTAGCAGAACTTCTCCCCAAACAAATACAAAATGGAATGTGTGTGTGCGTGTGTGCGCGTGTGTGTGGTGGAAGGTCTCTGTGTCTGAACAGAGTGAAAGAAAATAAATTTTGGGGAAAAGAAACTATTTAACCTTGTTACAACAGCAAGTGAATTTCTCATTTTTAACTTAAAATCAACTAAGGTAATATGTGTCAAAATACATTAGCAATAAATTAATTGAAACAAAGCAAAGAGTCTCTTTTTGGTAGTTCTTTGGACACTGCATTGTGAATGAATAGGTAGGTTTCATTCTCAGGCATTAGCACTTTCTAATTAAAGATTCTATTATTTTAGGTGTTTGGGGTTTTATTTTCCCCACAACTGACATAATATCATCCCTTGCATATAGTTCAGAAATATTTTGAGAACCAATTGAAATAGTTACATGTGGAAGTAGTCAGTGACCACTAGGGGGAAGGTGCCGGAGTTCAAAGACAGGGATATGTGGAAAATTTTGAGGCATGAGACATCTGAAGCCGTAAGAATACTAGGATGAAGCCATCAGAGCCTAGATCAAGAAAGAATAAACAAGAAAGTGCAAATCAGAACCATGATGAGACTTTACCTCACACCTGTCAGGATGGTTATCATCAAAAAGACAACAGATAACAAGTGTTGGTGAAGAAGTGGAGCAAAGGGAATCCCTGTGCCCTGTTGATGGGAATGTAAACTGGTACACAGCCATTACGCACAACAGTGTGAAGTTTCCTGAAAATATAGAACTACTGTATGATCCGGGCGCCTGGGTGGCTCAGATGGTTAAGCGTCTGCCTTCGGCTCAGGTCATGATCCCAGGGTCCTGAGATCGAGTCCCACATCGGCCTCCCAGCTCAGCGGGGAGCCTGCTTCTCCCTCTGACCCTCTCCCGTCTCATGCTGTTTCTCTCTCGCTTGCTCTCTAAAAAAAATAAATAAATAAGATCTTTAAAAAAAAAAAAAAAGAACTACGGTATGATCCAATGATCCCACTTCTGGGTATATATCCGGAGGAAATGAAATCAGGATCTTGAGATATTTGCTCTCCCAGGTGCAATGCAGCACCCAAGATTTGGAAACAAACCAAGTGTTCATTGATGGAGGAATGGATAAAGAAATTGTGGCATATATATGCAATGAGATATTATTCAACCATTAAAAAAAAGAAATCCCACCATTTGTTACAACAGAGATGAGCCTGGAGGACATTATGATAAGTGAAATAAGCCAGACACAAATTAGGAGATAATGGAAGTGAACAATTTGAAGGAACTGAAGAAATTAGTCATACAGAATTCTGGGACAAGAGCATCCCAAGTAGGAGAAACAATCAGTGCAAGATGATCAAAAACTCCCTTTTGCCTTCTTCCAGTCAACCCTCCCTTCTTTAGAAGCAAACAGTATTTTTATTTCTATTACTATAAGTTTTATCTATTTGTGTTTTTTTCCTACAAACTGTATAATGCAGTATGTTTTCTTTCATAGCTAGATTTTTCACTCAATTTTATTACGATTCATCACTGTTAGTTCAATCTGTGTTCATGTTGAATGGTATTTACACATACGAGTATCTCCAAATTTTCCTTTCTCAAATTGAGGGGTATACCAAATATATACATAGCAACTATAAAACAAAGGCTTGTGCAAGTATGCTATGAAGCTGGATAAGTATGTACAAGTTTTGGGGGACATTAAGTACTCATCGCTCTTATGTAGTTGTCAGACTGCTGGATCATAAAGTAGACATGGGTTTCTTTTAATCACAAAATGGCAAACAGTTTCCAAAAGAAGTTGCATGATTTTTATACTTCCACTAATAATTCAGGAATTTAAGTAGCTCCACATCCTCACCAACATTTGATGTCAGTTTTTCTTTTTTTTAAAGTATAGTTAACACAAAGTTACATGAGTTTTAGATGTAGTCAGATTTTTTAGTTCTAGCAATTCTGGGTGTTGTGAAGTGGTTTCTCCTTGTTATTTCAATCCCTAATTCTCTGAAGATGATGTTGAGCCTTCTTTTAATGTGATTATTGGTCATTCACCTATCTTTATTTGTGATGGCACTGTTCTGGTCCTTTGGTCACTTCTGAAGAGTTGTTTCTGAGGAATTGTAGGAGTTGTTTATATTATCTAGATGCAATATTTATGTTGCTAGTGTGGTTAATTATAAAAAAAAAATTACATTTGTCCATTCCTTATTAGTTTGTTAGTCATGATTGAAAATAGTCTGTAAATACAGCATCATTTATATTAAAGCATAACTATAAAACCTCTGATCTCTTTTGGAAGATTAAAGATGGCCAAAGATTCTTTGACCTTCATCTGATGGTGAGGTGACCCTAGGATTTGGGCAAACTATGCTGGTTTGATCAATGCAATGCAGTTGATGAAAGCACTACTTTGCTTCCTGGGCTCTTTTACTAAGACACTAGTAGATTCTTCTCTCTCCCTGAAAACACTCAGATCCCTGAGCTGCCGTGTAAGGTGTCCAGCAACTTTAGCCACCAGATATGTGGAAAGGGAGTGTGGCCCAGCTGAGCCCAGGCACCTGCATTTCCAGCCAGGTATTAATTAGGCTTGTGACTGACGCCATCTTGGAGCCTGCAATCTGTCCACCAGCTGCATACTATCAAACGACCTGATAGAGACAATACACAGGGCAGAAGAATTGCTCTCTCAGTCCTGCCCTGTTTTTGGCCTATATATTTGTGATATAGAATGGAATATCTTAATTGTAAGACACTGATATCCAACATAGTTGCGTTGCAATGATAGATAACTGAACTAGATTTTGGTCTCTGGATTTGGGTGCTGCAGTAAGGCATGGGGCTCTGGCTTTTGGACTGGGGAACAGGCAGAAGGCTCAGTGCTCGTAGGAGACTGTTTGCAAGCCCTGTTCTTTAAAGCTGTAGATACAGGCAACCTCGTTATGCATTTGGCTGAACAAATAGCAGAACTGTGTCCTACATAATGTGGAGAATAGAAAGTGAACCCTGTGATTTCATGGATTTGCTGGGAAGAACATAGAAGTGCCAAATAATTTCTACTAATTGTTTAAGAAAACAGGAGAAGAGAGAGTTACATTAAGGAAGGAACCATCCTGTTAGAGAATACTACAGATATGGGAAATTGATAATACAAATTTCACACTCATGATGCTGTCAGTAAAATGACTGAGATGGGCGAGCCTCCAGGTACCTTGAATTCAGATTTCTACAGTAAGGATACTCTCATGTAGAAAATCATTCCTAGGAAAGCCTTTACAGGTTCGATGCAAATAAGACATATTGAAAATTTGTTTATGCTCCCTGCTGTTCACCCCACCGTTTTGGGATTCCTAATGAAACAAAAATTCTACTCTGGATATCCTGTAGGTTGTATTAGTCGATAAATACTGAAATCTAGGCCTTTTAGTTACAGATATTCTTAATTAGCAACATTAGGAAATTACAGGTGCTAACTGAACTCTACAGGGATCTGATATTGCTGTCTAAATGAAAACTACTCCATATAATTACTATTGAAGAAGAAAAAAAAAAACTACAAAATTAGCACACAGAGATCCAGCTAGGGTTGCTCCTTCCCTATGTCAACAATCTCCCAATCAGAAATATCATTTTTTTCTTTTTTTGACTTTTTATTTCAAAGGATTTTAAGTTTTCAGAAAACCTGCAGAAATAGTACACAAAACTGTCTTAGAACTCACAGGTGACTTGCAGACGTGCTATCTCTTACCACTATTAAGTAATGCCTTAGTTTTTATTGTCTAAAAACAAAGACATTCTTTCACACAACCAGGGCTCAACTTTCAATTCAGATACATTAACATTTGACTCTTCTCCATCCAACAATTTACAAATCTCTTCCCAAAACAGAAGTTACAGTACATGATACACAATTTGACGAATGCAAAGCAGAGCCATTGGTAATGGCACAGAAATCTGCATTAAATCCTTCCTCATCTCATATGTTCCTGTATATAATAGAATCCATATCTGTATATAAATACTTTAGAGCCCATTTAGAAAGCCTGAGACTTCAGTATTAAAGGCACTCTTTAATTGACAGTGATCTACAATACCCAAGATCTTGCTTTATGTAAGGTCTCAAGCTTTCCACATGCAAAGGTATGCATTTAGTCTTTAAAGAAATAATAATTCCTCCTCTAACAAAAACTTCATGTATGTTGATAACATAGAAATGAGGTACTTCGAAAATCTGGAAAGGCAAATGTGCAAAGTAAATCCTGCTGGGGCATCTAGAAAAAGACAGGTTATAAATGGAGGCGATTTCCCGTTTACTCTCCGGTACCCACCTTCTGACAATCAGCTTCTTTCTTCTTGCCAACCATAAGGGTAAGAGAAACATTTATTCTTCTTTTCAGTAAGCTCCACTATACTTTCTCAGACAATTTAGAAAATAGCTCTGTGGGGAACTTACACAATAATGTTCTTGTGCTTGAAGAGAGACATTTGCTTGTGATGGCATTTCTGGGCACGATATCAAATCACATTGTGTTGGTGGGCACCGAGAAGCTCTCTCCAGCTGACAGGGGTAGTAAATCATGATGCCTTCCCAGAGAAGTAAATCATTAGAAATATTCTGAACTGTGTCAGGTGCTTCTCTGAAACCTTTGTAAAATTACAGTAATGCAAGCACTTCACACACACACACACACACACACACACACACACACTTTTATGAAATTTCAGAAAATGACCTATTTAAAGAGTACACAGGTCTTGTGTTCACACAATAAGGGAATGGACAGACATTCCCAAGGCTTAAATTTTTCCTTTAAAAAAAAGAGAAACATGTGGCCTTGCTGGATACAGCAAATTTAAAATTTCTGCAAACTAGCTTACCCTTTCTGTTCTCCTGTTTTTTTAAAAAAAATTGATATCAGTGCAAAAGAAAATCCAGCCATATTTCAAAGATATTCATGAATATAGAATCTAGATATATGCATATTTAAACATAGCAAATGTAATTTTTAAACTGGTGTTGTTTTACTTTGTTTCTATTTATGATTTGCACTGATATTATCCATTGTTTATTGAACACCTGCTAGGTGTCAACTGATCTAAGGAAGTACCAAGACATTTGAAGTTTTTTTCTTCAGACACTACAGTGAAAAGGCAACCCATGGAAGGAGGGTTCTTTTGAGCCTCTATTTGAAATGTTCAGGACTGTAAATTCATAGACACAGAAATCATATCAGGGTTGCTGGAGTTTGGGGTTCAGGGGAGTGAGCACCAGCAGCTAATATGTATGGGGTTTCTTTTGGGGAATGACAGACATACTCTGAAATAATAGTGATAACAGGTACACAATTTCATGAATGTACTAAAACAATGAATTTTGATTAATTTTATAATTACTATACCATGTAATTCATGGCATATTGATTAGATGACATTATATGGCATACTAATTATATCTCAATAAAGCTGATTTTAAAAAGTGGATGCTACGTTTCATGTAAACATAAGATGTACCTTAGTTTGCAGCCTATTATCTAAAAATGTAAATAACTGTGAGCCAGCTATAAAAACCTAGGAAACTTAGGAGCGCCTAGTGGCTCAGTCAGTTTAGCATCCGACTCTTGATTTCAGCTCAGGTCATGATCTCAGGGTCGTGGGATTGAGCCCTGCATCGGGCTCCGTACTCAGCATGGGGTCTGCTTGTCTCTCTCACTCTGCTCCTCCCTATACTCGTGCTCTCTCTGTCTCTCTCAAATAAATAAATAAGTAAATAAAATATTTTAAAAAAATCCTAGGAAACATATGCAACAGATTTCCTTATATTTTAAAATTATATTGCACAAATTTTGGTCAAATATTTTGACATCTATATTTCCTCAACATCTTCATTGAAATGTAAAGTTAAATAATAAAACTTGATTTTTTTTCTCTTTTTGATAAATAGTTTATTTTAATACTATTCCACATATTTTTGCTATCATAAGCCTTCAAATACCTCTTAGTAATTATATGAAGAAAAACAAATATATTTTATGAAACATCTAGAATATTATATATGCATCTTTTTTTCACTACAGTGAAAAGGCAAGGAGACAATATCTAAGGAAACTATGCTATCAGAGTATTACATTCCATAATAGATATTTCTAATGCTTTTATTCTAATTTAAAATGATTGAAAAGTCACAGGATCTATCTTGACAGATTTGAAGAAACTGAAGTATTTGTCAGATTTTTTTCTTTGTCAAAAGTCACTGTCAATACAGAATATGTTAAACAGTAATAATTTTATTGTGTTTTACAGAATGATTAGATATATTAATCTATTCCCTCTAGACTGATGTTTATTAATTTCCCTAGTACTTTATTAAATAGACTTTACTGAGAGTTAATTGGTGAAAACTCTTTCCAAACTTAAATGATGATCACGTTTGAAACTTGCTAAGAGTGACTTTCTTCTACTTAGGTCACTGTTCTGTTTTCCTCAGGGTCTCCTTAGGCTTCTCTTAATTGGACCCTGTTAAAGACGCTGACCTGGTAGCCCTCAGAAACAAAGTGGACTTAGAGTAGGAACCTGCAATACTACAGAATCCCTGAGTTTGGGAAGTCTCTTGACACTTCCTAATCAATGCACTGCAGCTTTCCAACCACTTAGTGGAAATCCTGTGTCTTTGATAGAGTGACATAGCTTGAACTTACAGGTAAGTCTGGAAACAAGACTGTCCGATTAGGAGAGCACATTGAAACCTCCAGGTGATTGCTGACCTATCTCAAACACAGCAATGCCCAAATACCACAACCCTCATGTATACCCACCATAGACACCAAACCTCATTTCCTCCTGATCACTCAAAGTGCACTGAGATCAACTTATGATTTCCATAGGTCTGGACAGTAAAACTGTACTAGTCAAGACATGACAGAATGTAAAATATGACATTTAAGTTTTACACTGGGTTTATCAATCAGCTCTTCCCCCTCTCAGTTGTCCCTTTCTCTCTCCTCTTTTGTCCTGCACTAAGTTAAATGGAAAAGCAGAGTCATAGGGAGGGGAAACTATTAAGAAGGATGTGTGAACAAGGGAAAGAATATAATAGACATTAGTATGAAAAAGAGGCATCATTTCACATAAGTTAAGAGAAAAGAAGGGGCAGAGCCATTTACTTACCAAGTAAATGCAGTAAATGCAGGAAAGGCTTTCCACTTCAGAAGTGCTATGTTAGAAGCTCTGAGACCAATTCCCATCCTGCAGGAATAGAGCACCTCATCTCTGGAAGCAGGTTGCTGTATGATTTCTTCATTTTGATTGTCATGCACTTTTTAACTAGTTGCAAGCTAACAAATTCACAAGTAACTGTCAACCAATTCTTTTACTAAAACTGAGCCCTTTTCAAATGTCATAGTTGTCTTTACTCATGCTTTTAAGGTTACCAAAAAAACACAGAAGTCGGCATAGATTTGCTTCCGTAATGAAGAATTATCGGGATGTTAGGAACCTGGGAGAGAATGCAGGAAAATGCCTTATTGTCACTATCCCAATATTCTGTTTGTTCCAAGACTGAAAAGTGCGTCAGGCTTTAAAACAAAAGAGTTCACTCACTGTGCTCAGAAAAACAGCCTGAAGTGAAATTAGTATCTTCCCTTTTATTTACAAAATATTTATACTTACCAAAATTAAAACCTGATTTCCTGTGTTTAAAATCACTTGGAATGCAGGACCTCTTTTAGAGGCAGTACAGAAATTGAAAATCTAAGCTTTCAAATAAATAAGAATTATGTAGTTTGTCTTACGAACGTTAGAGTTGGCCTTGAGGCTGGGAACCATTTTGATCATGTGATTCAGTTCTGGGCACGTGGTGTTTGAATCTAATTGATTCTCAAAATGTTTAGAAAATAAGTTTGGGATAAACTTTACTGAATCTATATACCTGCATTTTAATTTATTCAACATATTTTATTTTAGATTACTTTTTTAAAAAAAAGCTATTGAAAAGTATCCTGGAAACTTTTATCTAAGTCAATGCCTAAAGCACACTGGTAAGTTTTTATTTATTGACATTCTATATAAAATGCATATTTAACATAATTTCTCATTCATCTAGAACACTTTCTCTTTTTATGATCTTCCCCTCTTTCCACAAATAATTTCATATTACCACTTAATTAGGTTTTTTTTTTAATTAACACATATTTAGAACTTCATTTTTTAAGGAAAAAAATCACTTCAACCTCCTCTTTAGAGACTGAGCTGTAAGGATAATATTCTAACTTTCTCAAATTCATCTAGGAAGTAAGAGGAGTATAAATAAGCAATATCTGGATTATTAAAATGATTCACAGATCCCCCTGCTCCTCCTGTGCCCCTCTGTAATCTATTCTCAGTACTAAAGGCAGAGGTCTGAACGGAGAGGCGGATCTTCTTACTCTGGCTGTAGATCCCCGTTTCCACACAGGGAGAAGCAGAGCACTTGGCGGTGAGCTACTAGACCCTGTAGAATAATGTGGTTCCAAGGTGCCCTGGGAAGAATCTTGCCTGAGAGCTTTTTTCCAGATGCCTCCCTTCTGCAGCAACCTCCTCCCAGCCATCCTGAGAGTAACTCCCTAACTCGTTTTAGTATTTTGTTCCAACATTGCCTTCTGGAAGACAGCATCCCTGACTGTTCTATTTAACACTGTCACTGCCATGACCTTTGCAAGCCCAGTTCTTCTGTCCCTTATCTACTTTAGCTTTTCACACAGCTTTCATCCTATTCCAGCACAACACATAATTTTGTATAGATTATTGTTATTGATTATTGATTATCCTTTCTGTGCTGGAATGTAAGAGCCACAAGGGCAATAGTCTTTGTTTTGTTTATTGATGTATTACTAACATATCGTAGTTACTCTAAGGAGCGCTGTTCACTGAATGGCTCAGCATAAGTGTATGTAATATCAACCAGCAACGTCACAAGCCTTACGTAATATGTTACTTAACAAAATTCTAGGATTTTAAGCCTTCTGGGTAAAGGCGAAGTATCTTCTGTTGTTCCGTGATATTGGGTGACTAACAGCGTCTAGCCCATTGGAAATGTTAAACGTGCATTTAATGAAGGGGAAAGTCAGTTATTATTCCCATTGTTTCACAGACAAAGAAACAGATTTTAAAAGGCTAACATGCTCTCTCCAAACAGCTAATAAGGGAAAAAGATGAGGAGTCGAATATAGTTTTTGAATATAAAAGTCTAATTATAGTCATAGGTCTTTTGTTTTAAATTAGTTTAAAAAAGAATCCAGCTACTTAAAACTGTGGCTGGTGATGCATAATTTTAGCTTGCTTAGCCTGTTGGTGGCAATAAAATGCTAATTTTGATGCTTTTTCATATTAATAATCAGGTGTGAAGAGCAAGGAAAAGTGCTAATGTTGTATATGCATCAGCTTAATATTGCGGGTCACATGATTTGCATAACAGTCCTTCTG